CTTTGGCAGGTGAGCTGGTGGAGGTGGGCTCGGTCTGGGGGGAGGCGGCGCTGGGGGCGGATTTGGCTTTGGCGGATTTGGCTTTGGCGGCGGCGCGGGTGCTGGTGGCGGGGGCCTGGGCGTAGGCTTTGGTGGGGGCCGAAGTCCGGCAGGCTTTGGCGGTGGCGGTGCACCCACCCTGGGGACCATCCAAGAAGTGACTGTCAACCAAAGTCTCCTCGCCCCGTTGAACCTGGAGATTGACCCAAGCATCCAGCAGGTGCGGAAGGAGGAGAGGGAGCAGATCAAGAGCCTCAACAACAAATTTGCTTCGTTCATTGACAAGGTGAGCGTTGGAGCCGAACCTCCGGAGATGGGCGGGATGGAAGGAGGTCGGTGGCGGGAACGGAACGGAAAAGGCCCGTTTTCGTAGCAGGATCACTACTCACACTAATTAACTGCCAGCAAATTTCAGCGGGGTCACTGGGCTCGTCAGTTGGAGCAAAAATAACGAGCCGTCCGCTGGCACCTGAAAGGCAACCACGTGGAAGTGGGCACCAAACTCTCGTGGGCTGCAGATGGTTCCTAGTTGCACGTATTGAGTCAAACTTTCCAGTCGGTGACGAAAATGAAGATTTCTCCCGGGTTCATCTCGGAAACGGAAGCCACGGGGATTTGATTTGCTCCATCCCAACCCCCACCACAGACCCAAAGAGGGAAGAAGGAAATGGCAACATGGAGATCAACATTCACAAACGTGTCATTCCTATTTGCATCCATGTTTTTTTTTTTTTTTTTTGGACACTTTTTGAAATGGCAGTGAAAATGTGTGTTTGTGTCTAACTGGGACATTTTGGGTACGTCTAAACTACATGCCTCCGTCGACGGAGGCATGTAGATTAGCCAGATCAGCAGAGGGAAATGAAGCCGCGATTAAAATAATTGCGGCTTCATTTAAATTTAAATGGCTGCCCCGCTCTGCCGATCAGCTGTTTGTCGGCAGATCGGGGCAGTCCGGACGCGCCACGTTGTCAAAGAAGCCTTTTCTTGATTGGCACTGGTATGTCTCGTGAAACCAGGTTTACCTGTGCCGATCAAGAAATGCTTCTTTGTCGACGCGGCGCGTCCAGACTGCCCCGATCTGCTGACAAACAGCTGATCGGCAGAGCGGGGCAGCCATTTAAATTTAAATTAAAATTACAGACTCACACGGAAACCCCTCTGAAATATGGAGCTGGCCCTAGATAGGGGGCTAAGCAAAAACCAAGACTTCGGCATGTGGTCAAGCATTAGCAGAAAGGGGAGAGTGAGACAAAGGGTGTGTCTAGACTACATGCCTCCGTCGACGGAGGCATGTAGTCTAGACACACCCTTTGTCTCACTCTCCCCTTTCTGCTAATGCTTGACCACATGCCGAAGTCTTGGTTTTTGCTTAGCCCCCTATCTAGGGCCAGCTCCATATTTCAGAGGGGTTTCCGTGTGAGTCTGTAATTTTAAAAACGAGTAGTCCTGTGTGTGTCTACAAAGCAGGGCTTGCCTCAAAATAAGCTACGCAAATCGAGCTACATCAATTGCATCGCTTATTTCGAAATTGGGAGCGTCTACACAGCACTGATTTCGAAATCGAGCACTCTTCCTCCGACTTCCCTTCCTCCTCGTACAATGCGGGTTCCAGGAGTCGGAGTATAGACGCGGACTAAGTTATTTTGAAAGCATGTTGCGGTGTAGACGTACCCTTGCAAAAATATAGATAGTGCCATGAGTTTTCATGCGCAAAGATCCCCCATCAGAGGAAGTGAGTGTTGCCCACGAGAGCTCAGGATGCTGTTTATATTTTTGTTAGTCTCTACGGATTTCTCGTGGTTCCATATTTCTGTATTGGGGTCTTTCCTTGGGTTTACTCGGACACGTGCCCTTACCCAGGGGAGGCTGAAGTAACGACAGAGCCCAAATGAAGGAGCCGCCGTGGTCAACCCGCAGCTCACGAGCTGCATGTGGCTCTTCCCCCCCCCAGGGTGAGGCTTGCTAAGCTGCCCCCCCCATCACTCCTAAAGCAACCCCTGCACCCCTGAAAATGGCCCTCTCCTCCCGGCTCCCTGTGCTCACCGGGGTAGGGGAGCCATCCGGCATGGCCATTAAAGATGGTGCCGGAAGGAGCCTGATGTGGCCAAAAAGCCTCTAAATGCTTTTTCTTAAAGGGGCAGAGTCCTTTTTTTTGCTCTACAACTTTGTCCTAGCTCTTAGCGCTGGATCCATGCATATCTTGGCTCTTTGCCCGGAATGGGCTGGCCATCCCTGAACTAGATCATGCTAATGCTTCGCTACCAAGGAAGCAAAAAGTCATGATGCCACTCACAAAGATGGGGAAACTGAGGCACGGCAGTCAGACGGCCAACGACAGGACTAGAACCCAGATAGCTTGAGTCCGACCCTGTTCCCCAAGCTTCTACACCAGCCTGCTGCCGGAGTTGAGCTAGCCAATGGGAGAATTGCTGGGCTAAAAACAATGTGCCTGTGAGAACGTGGGGGTCGGGCCTGTTGGTTTTGAGAATATGGAGGGGTGGATTTAATATTTCCTCTCCACCAAGTTCTGGGGCATCAGCCGGCTGGCCAAGCTCTTCCATTAAATAGCTTTTGCCTGGTGGGTTTCAGGTCCGCTTCCTGGAGCAGCAGAACAAAGTTCTTGAGACCAAGTGGAGCCTCCTGCAGGACCAGGGTCAGAAATCCACCTCCAGCAAGAGCAGCCTGGACCCCCTCTTCGAGGCCTACGTCAACAACCTGCGGAAGCAGCTGAGCAGCCTGCTAAGCGAACGGGGGCGGCTGGAGGGCGAACTCAGGAACGTGCAGGACCTCGTGGAGGATTTTAAGAACAAGTAAGTGAATGTGTAAGGGGAGGGCGTTCCCCTGACCTGTGCCGACCTGTACAATACACAGCCCGCCTTTTTGGAAAGTGGGTGCCAGGTCCCCGGGCAGCCAAGGGAACCCCATAGCCAAGGAAGCTAATGGCATAGTGGGGGGCATTAGGAGGAGCATGGCCAGTGGATCTAGGGAAGTGACTAGTACCCTTTATTCGGCACTGGGGAGGCCACATCTGGGCCCCCCACTACAGAAAGGATGTGGATGCATTGGAGAAGGTTCAATGGAGGGTAATGAAAATGATTCGGGGGCTGGAGCACATGACCTATGAGAGGAGGCTGAGGGATTTGGGCTTGTTTAGGCTGCAGAAGAGAAGAGTGAGGGGGGATTTGGGATTGTGTGATTCTAAGACAGCGAGTTTACTGGGATTCAGGCTACCGTAATTGATCACAAGTGAGATGGAAGAGTCTGCTGCTGGAAACGGCAAATTTGTCAAAGTCAAACGCAGTTTCATGGAGGCGCGTGGATTTGGAAGAGCTGTTCAGTGGAAACGCACTGGCAGGAATCTTCTCCGTTCTCGTTTTGTTTTGGTCACGTTGGAACATTTCATTTCAACGTGCCTGGTTTGTTTCATTTTGACTGTTACAGTGCAATGATTTTATATCTATGCTTAATATTGTACCGACTCCTATTTACCGTTATATTTAATTGCTAGCCGAACACACCGATCTGCTATTACTACAAACAAAAATATTTCAGTGGTCTGCTTTTTTTTTTCCATTGTGGAAAAAAAAATAGTCGAAATGTCAACCGTTTTGCTCTGGTTTAGAACGACGGCGCATTTTGAGATGTCTGAATTTCCCCCGGGGGGAAATTTCATTCTGCAACCAGCCCTAGTTGGACAGGTTGAGCCTGTCTTGTCCGGCTCTCTCTGGTCCAGCAACCTCCATGGTCTGGCATGATTCGAGTTTGCTGGATGGCCGCTTAGCATGGGGGTAGCCAAGTTTCCCGTAGTCCCATAAAGTTTGTGTACAGCCGCCAGTCCTGGCTCTCAGTGTTCTGGGCTGTTATTTTGCTCTAATTTACCCCTTCCCCACATGTCTTCAAAGAGTCCAGATGCTGTGGCAGACTTGGTAATGTTGCTAGATGGTATTTCCCGTGGCCCGGCAAATTCTCTGTTGTGGCACCAGTCAGATCCTGACGGTGCCGGACTCGAAAAGTTCGACCCGTAAGACGTTTTTCCAGAATTGCAACAAACATTATCAATGTATCTGTTCCAAGTGGTACATCTACTTTGTCCGGGCGTCCGGGGCCAAAAGCCAGGAGCTGGGCTGTCCAAATATGGAACAGAAAGGGAACCCATTTGGGTCTAGTGGCTGGCATGCATAGAACGAGGATTTGTTTTCTCCTGCCCCAAAGAGGTACGTTTGTTCCTTTGCTTCCATCCGCCATGGCTCGTACTTTGCGATCTGGGGTTCAGATCTTGCACCTGACCCTTCAGCAGCATTCCAGCTTTTAGAAGGGCTGTCCTTACGGTTTATGGTACCCTGCGTGGAGGCACCCCGATGTAGCGGTGCCCTGCGCAGCTGCATATTCTGCATACACCTAAGGGTGGTCCTGATTAAGGAGAAAAGAAGACAAGAGGAGATGAAACCCACAGGGCCATGAACCCATAGGGCGATGGAGCCTGAGGCAGCATCCAGATGTCAGATTCCCTATCTGGCTTCACTTCAGAGAGTGGGACAGAACCACCCCCACGTGTTTTACAAAAGTTGAAACTATGGAATTTTGAAAAGAAAACCAGTCACTTCTGCACTGCAGCGCAGGAAGAGAACGGAAGGGCAAGATTTCTTTTTTCCCCTCTAAATATGCTAGAGATCTATGAAATCATGATCGGTGTGGAGAAAGTGAATAAGGAAAAGCTGTTTACATGTTTCCATAACACAAGAAATAGAAGCCACCCAAATTAAATGAAGAGGTAGCAGTTTTAAAACAAACCAAAGGAAGCTTTTCTTCATGCAGTGCTCTGTCAACCTGTGGAACTCCTTGCCACAGGATGTTGTGAAGGCCAGGACTTTAACAGGGTTCAAAACAGAGCTAGATACATTCATGGAGGTTAGGTCCATTAATGGCTATTAGCCAGGATGGGTAGGAATGGTGTCCCTACCTCTGTCAGAAGCTGGAATGGATGACAAGAGAGGGATCACTTGATGATTCCCTGTTCTGTTCACTCACTCTAGGGCATCTGGTGTTGGCCACTGTGGTCAGACAGGACACTGGGCCGGATGGACCTTTGGTCTGACTCTGTCTGGCTGTTCTTATTCTTATTTTGAAGCCAAACATTTGAGCAGCACACAGAACCAGCGTGCGCACAAGACATGCAATTTGCAAAAGAGGATGACCGTGCATTTTTGCCGAAGCGATGATCATGCGACAAGAAAGGTTGCCAGGTTCATCTTAGACACAGGCGCGTGCACGTGTGAGCTCAGCCAAGACATTCCTGCCTGCCTCTCCTACGTGTTCTCATTCATTCCATTAATGAGAGCTCACGCTGCCTTCCCTTCCTCCAGGTACGAAGACGAAATCAACAAGCGCACGAATGCGGAGAACGACTTCGTGGTGCTCAAGAAGGTGAGCTGGGCAGACCATCACCCTGAGGCTAAGATCAATGAAAACGCTTGTCGTGTTTTCAGGAAGGAAGGCTGGGGCTAGGTGTCTGGGCCAATACACGTGGGTGAGTCAGTGGGGATCACATCCCAGCGCAGGGGACCCCGGGGCACAGAGCAGACAGCCCCCCCGCTCCATCCAGGGGCAGTGTGGGGGGCTTGGCTGGGCCCCTCCAGGTGGGCCCTGAGGGAGCCTGGCTGAGGCAGGTGCTGTCCTGGCTGCTTCTGCCTCTCCTGAGGGTCTGGGACCATCCTTGGTGCCCCTAGTGGCTCCGCCCAGCAGGCACGTACCTGGGGAGTCCAGCCAGGAGGCAGGGCGTGGGGCAGGGGGTCCCTGGAGGACCAGAGTGGGGTGCTGGGCCGGGAGGGGGCAGAGAAGATCGCTGTGTGGTGTGCGCTACAGAGCGGACGGCTGCCAGTGTGCGTCTGGCTCTGGGGAGTAGCACCCCCCATCACCGTGCCATGCTCCATTGCTCCCACGGGGGCCCACAAATATGTTTGG